CTATTCTTTCTTATACACCTCCATTTCGGTCAAAACACCATTACTGTTATCATAAGTTACTCATTTTTCAGGAGATATTTTTTGAGCAGATTAGATATAAGATAATCCACAGGCATAAGGAAGGAGAAAGTCAAAGCTGGAAACATGTTTCCAAAACTGGAGTTCAAAAAAGACAGAGAAACTGACTCCTAACAACCACCCGCAAGACTTGCTAGACCACTAAAATTGTGCCCTTCAGAAAAAAAGCACTTCAAGCTTTGATCTTTGAGAGAGAGGAGAAAATCAAGCTCCACTCTTGCTTCAGATCTGAAAATATAAACAAGTGTTTCTGTCCATCCTTTCACTGTGAGGAGACAACTCATTACTATGGGCCTCATATACCAACCGTTCTTAAGAAGAAATTTCTTCTTAAAACCCACATACACAGTTTTACAAAGACTGACATTCACCAATGTTTCCTTATTTGGGATTTGTTCTTAGGTAAGAACAGAATCTGCACACACTCAAGAGCACAAAGGTGCGAATAATTCTACGGTTTAAGGACACGTCATGAATCTGATGTAGACTTTTTCTTAGGACCTTCCTCAAGACCACAATTAAGAAGAAACGTAGGAAAATATTGGTGAACGAGGCCCTGTGAGTCTGAAAGGATGTGTAGTGGTCAAGAAACTGTCACTGAAACTGTCAAGAACAATAGATCGGCAACCCCAAAGTCCAGACCTCAACTCCACTCAATGTATTTGATAATTACTTGAATCGTTAGAAGCAGAAGATGTGACCAGCGTCTTATGCTGAACTTTGGAAGTGTGGAAAAATATCCCTGTAAATTTCTTTGAAAAACTGAAAGCACGTCTCCTGAAAAGAATGAATGCTGTAAAAAAGGTGAAGAGTGGACACAGTAAATACTGAAAAATGTGATTATATTTAGTTGTTCAGGCTTCTGTGTAATTTTTCTGTTAAATGTAAGTTTTCTGCTTTTTTCCAGACGCTGAAAAAGTGAACATGTACTTAATGGCCGTTTTAACTGGAAATTAAATTAATGAAAGGTTTCTGACTTTTGCACAGAACTGTACATTATTAAACGCTGTCTTAACAGGTGTTGAGTGGGGAAATTTAACCTAATTTTACAGAGTTTGTGAACTGGCGGTCTGGCATGAGGTATTCATTGTTCAAGGATCAAGCTTGATAAAATGGAAGTGCTGATCTTCTTGGTAAAAAAACAGGCCTGGAGCTTAACTGTTAGAAAATAATCACACTTTTCCCAAAATCGTTCTATCCCAACACTGAGTACATCACGCGTCATGACAAAAGATCATCAGAATTCATTTAGACTTTCTTAAAAGCCTGCACTGTATAGAATTACACTTAATCACTGGCCCCTGCCAAAATAAAGCCCTTAGTCAGTCCAACCACAGCCTGCGGAATGATCTAATAGCAAGTCAAGGGGCTAATTGGACAACAGGTAGGGTTACATGTGACAACAATTAAGCCAAGCTAAAGGCCAACAGTATAGCCTCCGGCATTAGAAGCACTGCACTCAACCAGGGGCAGCAGTGGAGCTTTGTTTCTTTTGCCTGCTCTTTAAATGGGTACTATATGTTCCATGTGCGTAACTCAATCACTTATTTTCCTTCATTTCTAGTCATTTATGCTGCACATAATTTGTAAATTTCAATTTTGTGGTAATCATAATGGGGGAGTGCTGGTAATGTGATATTTTGGGGGATTTATTACATCACTGGTGACTTAAAAACCCAGAGAATGGGCAGCCATAAGTGTTTTACCTGGTTTACAGGTTTGGCTTCCTCTTTTGTCAGCCTTTGGCAGCAGATGAGGGTTTCTGGGAGAGAAATAACACAAAAGAATTAGTTTGGAAGACATAGCGAAGAAAGCTGAGGAGGGTACTTAAGTCAGAGATGGTTCTGTTCTGAAGTTTTGTGAATTAGTTTGCTGCCGAGTTGATTAGAAATTAGAAAACGTGTGTTTAGTAATGCCATAAAAACATACCATTTATATAGCTGTCGTTATCAATGCCGGCTAAAGCTTTTTCATTTAAATCCTTAAAGTATGTTTCTTAAGCTTGCCGTAGTTCTGCACATCCGTTTTTTTTTGTGATCAATATTTTATTAACAAGTAAAACACGAGATGTTCAAAAAGCCCAGGACATGCCCACAGAGCTTCCCACAACAAACATAGTACAGAGACAACAGTTCTGCACATTCTTTTAAAATTTCTGCATAATTCAGTTTCTGGGATATAAACAATGTCATTCTGATTGGTTTGATGTAAAATGGTGCATTGTAGAGAAACTTACCAATTCACACTTCTTTACAGTGGTGGTGATAGGAACCAGGGACCACGATGTCTATTTATTGTCTTATTTACTATGCAAAATGACCAATGAACCTATACGTGTCTTCTGAAATTTTTTGTAATGTTGATAATGGTTAAATAGCGGTAAATAAAAAAAAGGTGGGTACCCTGCACGTACCTCTCCACCATGAATGTATTTTTAGTTTTTTTTTTAAATACCTAAACATTTTAAAATATGCTTTAGGCTGAAACCGTATCTAAAAATGAGCAAAACACAATGACTCAGGCAGCATATTCGTTCTGAGAAAAGTTGCTTTTATAGGCATTAAACTCTTCAGACGTCTGGTTCCTATCAGCACCACTGTGAAATGCTCAGGACGTTTCTCTAAAATGGAGCATTTCAAACAAAAGCACTTTGAATAACACTGCTTACATCTTAACTATTTTACTATGTAGAAATTTTGAAAAATCTGTGGAATTCCCCTTTAACTGTTACCAATTTTACCAGCTCACCTTTTGCAACGTCACTGGTAGAGTTCTGTGGCATAACAATGTTTTCACTGTATCTGTAATAGCTGTTAGTACCACAAAGTCATATACATATACATACTACGCTTTACCACAATTATTGTGTTTTGTCTATCAGTGAACGCAAATTTTCACAGCCGTTTGGATTTAGCTAACTGTCCTAAGTAGTAGGGCTTAGTTTTAAAGAGGAATTCCACTATTTTTTTTTTTTTTTCAAAATTTGCAATAATTAAAGGGTTAAGATGTAAACAAAGTCATTCAGAGTGGTTTGATATGAAATGGTCCATTTGTAGAGAAACATACAGACTCTGATTTCTTTACAGTGGTGGTGATAGGAACCAGGTGTCCTGATGTCTACAACACAAACATAGCCATTTTATTTACTATCCAAAACCACCAGTGAACCTACCCATCTTCTGAGTTCTGATCTGATCTTCTGATGATGGTAAATCAGGAATAAATCTGAAAAAAAAAAAACACATTTTCTGTGGGAACTATTTTGCCTCACAAAACCCTGCATGCTTCCTTCCGCCATGAATGGATTCAAATAACTGGATTAAAATACATTTTAAACCACAACTTAATAATAAAAAAAAAACTATCATGAAACAAAGTGTCAGACACCAAGCAGCACATATCTAACACCTTCATGCAATAATGTTCTCTGAGGGAGTTTTAGAGGTGGACGTCTGGTTCCTATCGCCACCACTATGAACGATTCTGACTGGAAGTTTCTCTAGAAGGGAGCATTTCACACCAAACCACTCTGAATGAGTTTGTTTACATCTTAAGCATTTAATTATGTAAATTTTGTGAAATATCAGTGGAGTTCCCCTTTAAGGCACATCAATGCTAATATCAGGTAAAACATATTTAGACCCAGTGTAGACGAACTGTTCCCCTCAACCGACGTGCAAAAACACTAGACTTGACAGACTAGCTTAGCCTACAAAATAGGTTGGACTGGCCTCACTTCTCAGTTTATGGCTAATTTAAATAACGTTTTTACAACATACTCATCACTATTGAGTTCCATTCGACATATAACTCGTCAGATAAACATCTCTGGTCGCTCTGTTTTGTTTGTGAGGGCAGTATGGTGGTCCACTTTGCGTGAAACTAGTGTGCTTCTGAAGTCCATCATCATTAAGGGTGTTAGCAGCCTGCTAGCCTTTTGTTTGCTGGCGGAGAGAATCAGCAAACTGACAAAACCAACAGAACAGGCTTTAGAGCTCTGTTAGGGTCCATAATGTCCCCCATGGTGAAAACTTACTCACCTCCTTTTGGTCTGAATCACAGCCTGCATTACACAAACAAGCCAGTCAACAGGTGCAGGTCCGATTACAGTAGCACACAGTTAGCAGTGTAAATAAAGCGCTCTGGATCTGAAGAAGCACACTTAAGTGGAGCCTCGTCCTGTTATTAACCTGTTTCTACTGAATCTGCATCTCGCGATGGGAAATCTCGATTAAAATAAGGATAAAAAAGGTATATCAGAATAATGGTTACTGCTGTTAACAATAATTTGAAGCTATGAAAGAAAACAAAACGTGTACACTGACTGGGCAAGAGCACTCAGACCAATTTGAATTTTGATATATTTTACTGTATTTTCCTTTTGTTATTAGACATTATATAAAAAATATATAGTTTATGTATTTATGTAGGTTAAAGTTTATGTAAATACTTTGTTGAACTAATATTACATTTCATACATTTTACCTTTTATAGCTATTCTTTAATTATATTTTTACATTATAATAAATATAATATTTCTATACTTAATATTACTTAAATATATTCTCTGCCATTTTTCTGAGATCAGATATTAAAATTAAATTGAATTAACTTTCAAATTCATGTTTCTGTCAGTGAGATGTTTAATAATTCATATCACTATCACAACAACCGAAATGGGAAAAATCTTCTTTTTTTTTTAACGCCTCCTATTCGCAATGAAATCGTCGCTGCTGTCTGATTGGTCGACTGCTCGCTTAATCCACTCCCTCCGACCAATAGACATCTGAGGTTCGTCCTCGAACGCGGGCAATAAAGTCCTTATATGGCGCGCGTGTCCTTATATGGAGAGCGGAGGGCGGGGCTCCGGTGCCCCCGGCCGTTTAGTGTCACTTTCACCCGATTGTGAACTCGGACCGGGAGAGGCGGACTGACAGCCGGAGGGAGAGTCGCGCTGCGTGGGGAGAAGCTCGTTCCTGCTGTGTTTTCGCATTTCGGATAGTGCTTTTTCAAACTTCGCGAGCTTTTTACACGCTCTGACCTTCCTCTTAACGGAGTGCGCGTGCGAATCGTGTGTAAAGAAGCGCTTTTTGGGCTTTGTTTCGTGTTTAACGCCGACAGATATCGCAGCTGGGGCTTCGTTTGGACAGAAATCTGTGACATTTCCAGCGCTGAACACTTAAACAGGCTTTATTATGAGGCTCTCGTGAGGGGAGCGCGCTGCAAGTCCAATTGTGCGCGAGCGGCGCGCGTGTGTGTTTCGGGGGAATTTCCACGCGAGGCACGAAAACTTGAAAGCTCTTCAGTGGCTGACTGAGTGACCATGCCACCGTCTCGCGCGCACTGCAGACTTCTCAAGAAAGACCCTTAAGGTGAAACGTGTGTTTCTTTCTTTTCTTTCTTTCCTTCTTTCTTTCTCGGGGAGGTATAAAGGGGGGGAAGCCTCGCCTTGTTTTTCCCCAGGACGCCTGATCGGATTGCTAACATAAATCTCAGGACTCCCAGCTCTCACCTGCCTGTTCCACCCAATCTGCACGGGGGTAGCATGGCAATGGTAGTAAACCAGTGGCAGGAGAACATTTCGGCGGATCCTGGGTCGCAGCTCCAGCTGTGCAGCCAGGAGCCCGGCGGCGGGACACCGGGGACGCCGTCTGGCTCCACCCCGGGCAACGACGCGCTCTCCGCGGACAAGATCCCCAACGTGGACTGCATGGTGTGCGGGGACAAATCGAGCGGCAAGCACTACGGCCAGTTCACGTGCGAGGGCTGCAAGAGCTTCTTCAAGCGCTCAGTGCGGCGCAACCTCAGCTACACGTGCAGGGGCAACCGTGACTGTCCCATCGACCAGCACCACCGCAACCAGTGTCAGTACTGCCGCCTGAAGAAGTGCCTGAAGGTCGGCATGAGGCGAGAGGGTGAGTGCGCCTCTGCGCTTAACCTGTGCGTGCGGGCTACAGGCTGAACAGATGGTTCTTTAGTAAAGGCAGTGGTTGTGTTTAGAAGCAAGCATGGTGAAATCACATGGTTCTTCACATTGATGGAGAATGTGTTGGCTCTAGATAGAATCTTTTTTGAAAAAAAGCACCAAAAAGGGTTCTTCTGTTGTTACAAGCTTGACATTTTTGTGCATTTTCAGAAAGGTTCTATATAGAACCAACACCTTCACCATCAGTGAAGAACCATTTCACCATGCAAAGAACCATTTAAGCATGAACTGTTCTAAATAGAACCTTTCCCTTCTCTAAAGAACCCTTGAGGAACCACTTTTTAAAGTGTAGAGTAAGTTAGTCTAAACCTATGATCAAATATTTTTTCCCAAGTAGGCCTGAGCAATATGACAATATTTATCATTATCGTGATAAATTGCTCCACAATATGTCACAATATGCTTTTCTAAGCATATCATGGATATTGTCAGTATTTAAAAAACACTTCCCAACTGCATGTTTTGTTATTAGTCCTGTTAAATTAGACTTAGTGGAGTGTTAAATAAAAATAATTGCATTATAGTAATTATTGCACAACTGAATTTAGTTTTTGATAGTATTAAAAATGTGGCGCTACTTTTTTGTTCCAGCTTATTAGATGTAAGGGAAAAAAGTATCATATCGTGTTTCGTGAAGACTTTTTATAGTATCGCAATATTACATTTTGGCAATTGCGCCCACCTCCAGTACCAAATCAAGAATATTCTTCAGAACTGCAGTGGAACTTGGATCTATCAGCATCGGAGCTGAAGTTTGTTAGCCGCTATTATTCTCTTTCAGATCTACTCATGGTGAAAAAACTGCTAATGCTCCAAAGTGACAGCAAAGCAGTGTTCTGTCATGAACTGAAGTGGCAGAATTTCTGTATAATTCAGATGTTGAGATGTAAACAGAGTCATTCAGAGAGGTTTGATGTGAAGTGGGTTAAACGTACCAATGCAGATCTTCTTTACAGCGGTGGTGATTGTAGGAACCAGGGGTCCCGACGTCTCCAACACATAAAATATAGCCATTTTATTCACCATCCAAAACCACCAGTGAAACCACACCTCTTCTTTATATATGTAATGTTTATGAGGGTAAAATCTCAATATGAAAAAAAGTTTTCTTTGGTGACTATTATGCCTGAGAACATCCTTCATGTATCCCTTCACCAGGAATAGATTTAAATAAAATAACTTTCTGTGAGGGAGCTTTTAGAAGTGGACGTCTGGTTCCTATCACCACCAGTGTGAACAATTCTGAATTGGTAAGTTTCTCCAGAACTGAGCATTTCACTCCAAACCACTCTCAGTAACTTTGTTTACATCTTAACCATTTAATTTGAATGACCAAAAACAGCTAAAATGTGAAGTAAAAAGTAGATTCCTTTAATCACAAACATTCTTGAGTAGAAGCAAAAGTATTATCATTTAAAAATCCTCAGGAAAGCACAAATCCATCAAACATTATCTTGACATACTACCCACTCCTGACACTAACACAGTATAGCCCATACGAGAGCCTGAGAAAGGCTGCTAGGATGAACTGAAATGCAGCTGTAATGAAAGTGGATGGTCATGTCAGAATCTCTGCAAGCCATCAATGCAATAATGAGCGACATGCACAGAGGTGTTATGGCCATTTACAGCTCTGTAGTCTTTCTCAGTATAGTCAGCGAGTTTTTCTTGGAAGAGGAACCCTTTTGTTTTCTCGTTAATGATCGTGTTTGGCTCTTGAAACTTCACTCAGTGCCAGAAGTGTCTCAGTACTTTTACTGCGTTGATTTTTATATCAGTATCTAGGTGTTATGTTATGATTTTATCTCTAAAGTCTTAGAACCTAAACCAAAGTCTCATTTTCAAGTTTTCCTCAAACAAGAAACCCGTTTGTTTTCTCATCAGTGATGGGGTTTGGCTCCTAAACCTCAGAGTGACTTAGCACATTTCACTGTTTTATGAATTAGTGTAAAAAGGCTGGTTTGTGTGGAGGAGACACTATGATGATGAGTGGCTTTGCATCTTCCATCAGTTAAATTCATTGAGTTCAGTTTGTGAATTCAGTAACAGTATGAGTTAACAGGCCATACAACAAAAAGAGGGCCAACGTTAGTTTCAAACACATGACAAACCTGTTGTAGAGCTGGTCAGTATGGCAGTATTAATTGCTAGCATGATAAATCATCATAGTACGTCACAATGTGCTTTTCTGAAATATTGTGAATATCATCAGTACTTAAAAAAAACAGCTTTTTTCATTAATAGAGAGCGTAATTCATCCTGAGTAGTTGATTTTAGTGTCAATTTGGCAATTCTTTGTCTGTTCTAACTTATCAGGTGTAATAAAAATCCTCTTAAAGTATTGCAGTATTACATTTCTCCACCAGTTCTCACCCACGTCTACCCTGTTGTTTAGTTATATTTAAATGTTTCATTGAGGTCTAAGATATATGATGTTGGGCATATGATGAAAAGTGTGAAGCTGTTGCTGCTTTTATAGCGCCTTCGAGTTGGCTTTGTTTTCTTTTCCCGCTTGTGGTTCTGCATGTGGTTATTTTATTCTATTTTTTTTGTAGCCTGATGTCTAAACGTTGGCACAGTGCAGGTTTTTCTGTGGCCACAGGTTGTGGGATTTAAAGATAATGTACATTACAGGCATAGAAGTATAAAATCAAACTTACTCGGTTTAATACTGAAGGGAAACATCACCCTGTCAAGCCTTCAGCCTCAGATTGACCTGGGGAGAAATGATAGCATCTGAGAAGATAGAAAAGATAACCAAAATAAGTTCAGTTCTGAGCTGAGAGTCTCTTCTCAGACTTTGTTTCAGCATATCTGCTGTAAGGATTATTGTGGAAGTACATATAGGACAATCTAATAAATACAGAATTAATTATCCATAGTTTCTAATTGTCCATATTTTGATTCTTCTGCTGTTGTGATCTTTCTCAAATGCAGTTACACAAACATATAAATACATAAAGAATTGAAATTTTTCATGCCAGTTAAGTTCTTTATAGCCTAAAGTTGGGCAATATGGCAAAAATATTGCGGTACTTAAAGAAATTTTCATGATACACGATGTCAATATATATTTTTTCAGGCATCTGATCAGTTGGAATTGAGAAAAACAAATCAGCAGTGCTACATTTTAAAAATACTCTCAAAAAATGTAATTTTTGTTCAATATTTGGCATACTGTGTTGCACTAAATTCAGTGAATCAGGACTACCTTTTCTCTCTTTATAATGAAGCATGCAGTTGGTTCTCCAAGTACTGATGATATCCATGATATGCTCAGAGATGCATATTGTATTGTGGCAATATATCACACTCACAATATATATTGTCATGTTGCCCAGCCGTGCTATAGCTTTATAGAAGTTTTACTGTTTTACTTTAGCATCAGACTTTCCTACCAAAAGCGTATGAAAAATTTAATAACTGAAATCTATCACTATAAAAAGTTATTTTGTGTTTGTAATAACCTGTAATGTCTGTGAACTGAGTGTTCTACAGTCTTGCACATGAGTAGTTGTTCTCTCCCAGTGTCGTAATCTTGAATGTTCTGTGTTACAGTTAACGGAGAACACACACACACGTATACGCATATACCATATCCTTCTCGTTCCGTCTTAGAGTTCATACATAAGTTATGCTACCTCTGAATTATGCAACGTGCTTGCCTGACAAGATACACATAGAGAAGCGCCTTGTTGTGTGATGCGCTTTCGTGCACTTCTAGCTGTTTTGCTCTCTGGGTAATTGCACTGTGGTCACATTCTTGTAGACACTGCGGCTCGTGCCAACTAAACTAACCTTCGCTTAGACTAGTAAATCACAATCTGCCATCCTCAACCTAGTATCAGATGGTCTCTATGATACGGTACATACTATAGTATATTGCTTATTTCTGACATATTGGTGTGCATCGTGTAGGCAACACTGATTCTGGTTATTTATGGTCTAATGGTATGATTCTCATTGTGGCATTGGATATATTGATGTCCCTTTTGTTTGTAAATGCATCAGTTACACCAGAAATAGCTTTAACTAATTCATACCCGTAAGTAGATCATGTTGTCCAAGTCATTTCTGTTTGTCATTTATCATTAAATATGAATGCAATGCTAATGATAACTTTTAATATTGCAAAAAAGTAAAAAAAACAACAATAAAAACAAGTTTTGTTTTTTTAATAATAATAAAATAAAATATGGACATAGCGACAGTTTCTACCTAGATTAGCATAACGGTGAAAAAAAAACACTTCACTTTTCCCGAATACAGTTATTACATCATCAAATATTGTTTTAAAGTATCAGTCAAATCTCAACATCTGTCCATCACTGACAGTTTTATACAGGCAATCATCTGCCAATGCTGATATCATGCATCCCTAAATTGTGTAACAGTCTGTCAGTTACACCTCAAATATCCAGCTCTGAGAGACGAGGAGAACTGAGGCTAGTCTAGTTTTAATGCTAGTTACAAGAGGGTCTTAGTCCCACAGTATATTCATTCATCTCAGAACGACGAAGAAATGACCAAGCCAGAGTTTGACCATACGCTTTGCCGACAGTCATAGAAGCAAAGTAAAGCTCATATATGTTTTGTTTTATGTCCATTATGAAGGTGAACACGCCTGTAATCGACCCAAACATGCTGTAGTACTGCTGCTTTGGCCTGCGTAAAAGATGAAAGGCTTTCGTTGGTGTTGACACTGATTAACAGACAGTGATTTATAGGCATGAAAAAAGAGCTCTTGTTTCACGGAGGAGACAAACAGAGCGGCTGAATCGCTGCGTGGCTTATGACCGCTTCTGAAGAGCGTGAATTCACTGAGCTCTTTGTGATCTGAAGTGTTCTGAAATCCCACTCTCCACTCCTACTGACGCATCACATGTGTTTTGCCGATGAATGGGGCTGAATCATGATGCAGACTCCATT